CTACATGTTTTACATTCCCACTAGCAATATATGAGGTTCTCCATTTCTCCACCTCTCACCAACACATTTTATTGTCTTTTATTATACCCATCCTAATGAGTATAAAGTAGAATTGCATTGTTTTGATTTTCATTCCCCTACTGACTAATTATTTTAAAATCCTGTTATATATTTTTGGCTATTTGTATATAATCTTTGAAGAAATATCTATTCAAATCTTTAGCTCATTTTCATTGGTATTGTTTCATTTTATGTTTGAGTTGTAAGAGTTCTTTGTATATCTTGTCCCTCATCAAATATATGAATACCAGGTATTTTCTTCCATTCTGTGGGTTGTCTTTTCACTTTTTGGGTTGTGTCCTTTGATGCACAGAAGTTTCTAATTTTGGTGAAGTCCATTTTTTTTTCATTTGTCACTTGTGCTTTTAGTATTATATCTAAGAAATCATTGTCTAACTCAAGGTCACAAAGATTTATTACTGTTTTCCTCTAGGAATTTTATAGTTCTAGCTCTTACGTTTGTGTTGATGATCCATTTTCAGTTAATTTTTCTGGGTAGTATAATATAAGAGTCTGTCTTCGTCTGTTTTGTATTGCTACATACAATATTTATAAAGAAAAGGGGCTTTATATTTTGTAATTGGATAATTTATAAAGAAAAGCCTGGGAAGTTCAAGGTTGAGGAACTGTATCTGGTGAGGGCCTTCTTGCTGCATCATAACATGGCAAAAGTCATCACATGGTGAGAGAGTGAGGGTATGAATATTGAAGTCTCTCTTCCTTTTCTTATAAAGCCACTGATCCCATCATGGGGCCTGACTCTCAGGACTTTATCTAACCCCAGTTACCTCTCAAAGACCTCACTTCCAAATACTATCAACATATGAACTTGAAGATTAAGTTACCAACACATAAACTTTGAGGGAACACATTCAAACCATCGCTTAGTCTACATTCACTCTTGTGATGTGACTATCTCGCTCTCACTTTTTACTGATTAAAGTATTCTTTTCCTCACTGGATGATCTTTGCAACCTTGTCAAAAATCACTTGGCCATATATCACAAATATAAAGGGAAATTTCTGGTTTCTAAATTCTATTTCATTGATCTGTAGGTCTTTTACTATACCAGACCATAATGTCTTATTTACTATAGCTATATAGAACATTTTGAAATAAGGAAGTAGGACTTCTTTAACAATGTTTTTCTTTTTCAAGATAGTTTTGGCTCTGCTAAGGCACTTTTATTTTTCCATATGAATTTTAGGATTAGCTTATCAATTTATTTTTTAAAAAGACTAATTTCAATAGGGATTGTGCAGAATTTATATATCTGTGTGGGGAGTGTTGCCATTTAACAATATTCTCTTCTACTATATAAACATGGCATATCCTCTGTTTATTTAGAACTTCTTTAATTTCTTTCAGGAGTATTATGTAGTTTTCATCATATAAGTTATGTACTTCTTTTGTTAAGTTATTACTAGGCATTGTATTCTTTTTGAGGCTATTATAAATAGGATTTTTTTCTTTTTTTCACTTTCTAATTGCTTATTGCTAATGTATAGAAATACATTTGATTTTTGTTTATTGTTCTATCATATATTGCTTAAAATGATTATTAGTTCAAATAATTATTTAGTGTAGGTTTTTTACATATATAAAATCATGTAATTCTCACAAATTTGTGGAAACTCAGTAGTTCATCTCATAGAAGAATGGTGTGGAATAGTTGTCCTTGAACATTAGAAAGGGCAGTGGGGATGGGGGCTGGAAATTAGTTTAATAAATGGCACTATAACACAGAGAGGAGGAATTAGTTATGATTTTCTATAGCACAGTAACAACTATTGGTTAAAAAATATATGGTATAATTCAAAATAACTAGAAGAGTATGGGGGTCAGGTGCATGCCTATAATACCAGCGACTCAGGATGCTGAGGCAGGAGGTTTGCAAGTTTGAGGCCAGCCTCAGTAACTCAGCCCTAAGCCACTTAGTGAGATCCTGTCTCTAAATAAAAAATAAAAGGGCTGGGGATGTGGCTCTGGGTTTCAGCACCTCTTGGGTTCAATCCCTGATACAAAAACAACAACAACAACAACAAAAAACTAGAAGAGTATAAAATTCACAACACATAAAAATGATTTTATTGAAATGCTTTGAAGAGATGGAAATGCTTACTATCCTGATTTGGTTATTTTACTTTGTGAACATGTATTGAATTACCATAGTATACCCCATAAAGATGTATAAATATTATGTCTCAATAAAAAGGTGTCATTTGTAAATATATATGGTCTTAATTTTTCCTTTCCTAAATAGATACCAAGTTTTTCCTTGACTAATTGCCCTGGTTAGACATTTTATTACAATTTTAAAAATATATTTTAGTTGTTGATGGACCTTTATTTTTAGATTTATTTGTTTATCTGTGGTGCTGAGAATTGAACCCAGTTCCTTATATATACTAGGCAAGCACTCTACCACTGTCTTGCTTCTGATCTTAGGGGGGAAATATTGAGTCTTTCTCCTTTTCATACAATGTTAGCTGTGTGTCCTATGTTGATACCCTTTATCAGGTTTAGAAAGTTTCCTTCTATTCCTAATTTGTTGCATGTGTGTTGGATTTTGTCAAATGTTTTTTTTGCAGCTATTAAAATGATCATGTATTTTATGCTTTATTTATATGGTATATTACATTAATTTTCAGATAAAAGCCCACCTGATCATGTTATATACAATTTTTATATGCTACTAGATTTGTTTTGCTAGTACTTTGTTGAGATTTTTACATCTATGGTCATAAAGGATATTATAAGGGATATTGGTCTATAGTTTTCTTATCATACAACCTACATGTATGATAGGTTGCATAGAATGATTTAGAAATTGTTTCATCCTCCTTTGTTTTTGGAATGGGTCTGTGAAGGATTGTTATTCACTTCATGTATGTCTTTTTTTTTTTTATACTGGAGATTGAACCCAGGAGTCCCTAACTACTGTGTACACTCCAGGCCCTTTTTATTTTTTATTTTAAGACAGGATCTCACTAAGTTGCTTAGGGCCTTGCTAAGTTGCCGAGATTGGTCTCAAGTCACTGGTATCATACGTATGTTCCAAGGTGCCTGACTTCCTATGTCTTACGTTGTTTGTGTTCATCTGTTCCCCAATTCCTCTCTTCTTTTGTGTTAAATAGATACTGTCTACTGTAAATTTTTAATTCCCCTTTTTAAAAAACTATTTTTAGTTGTGGATGAATATAACAACTTTATTTATTTATTAATTTTTTATAGTAGATGGACACAATACCTTTATTTTATTTTTATGTGGTGCCAAGGCTTGAACCCAGTGCCTCACCCATGCTAGGCAAGCACTCTACCAACTGAGTTACAACCTCAGCCCTATTTATTTATTTTTATGTGGTGCTGAGGATTAAACCCAGTGCCTCACATGTGCTAGGCAAGCACTCTATCATTGAGCCACAACCCCAGCCCTTAATTCCCTTTTTAACTGTATTTTTAGCTCAGATTTTACTGATCACCATGAGTATTACAATTAACATGATAACTTGTAAAAATCTACTTTGGATTAATAATAACTCAATTCAAATAGTATATAAAAACTTTGTGGGGCTGTGGTTGTGGCTCAGTGGTAGAATGCTTGCCTAGCAGACGTGAGGTACTGGGTTCAATCCTCAGCACCACATAAAAATGAAATAAAGATGTTGTGTCCACCTGTAACTAAAAAATAAAATTTTTTTTTAAAAACTTTGTTTCAGTGTACCACTTTTCCTTCCCACCTCTATTGCATTATTGTCCTAAAAATCATCTTTTTATACATTATAAGCCAAATCAACAATTTTATTATTTTCATTTAAATAGTTATTTATTAATTTATTTTTATGTCTAAGTCCCCAGTACTTGGGATTGAACCTACAGGTGCTCTACCATTGAGCTACATCCAAAACCCTTAAAAATATTTATTGAGGGTCTCATCAAGTTGCCTAGGCTGGTCTTGAACTTGCAGTCCTCCTACCCCTGCCTCCTGAGTTTCTGGGATTACAAACATTCACCACCTTACCTGGCTATGCAGTTGTCTTTTAAGATAGAAAGGAAAATAAAAGTTACAAACAAAAATACTGTCTTTTGTAATACTGTATAGTTACCTTCAAGTTAACAGTTAGCCAATTTTTTTTTTTTTTTGGTACCAGGGATTGAACCCTTAACCACTGACCCACATCTCCATCCACAGCCATATATATATATATATATATATATATATATACACACACATACACACATACATACATATACATATACACATATATACACACACACACATACATATATATTTTAAATTTTTTAGTTATAGGTAGACACAATATCTTTATTTTATTTTTATGTGGTAGCTGAGGATCGAACCCAGTACCTCATGCATGCTAGGCGAGCACTTCTACCTCTGAGCCACAACCCCAGCCCCACTTTTTTATATTTTACCTAGAGACAGGATCTTTCTAAGTTGCTTAGAGCCTCACTAAATTGCTGAAGCTGGCTTTGAACTCAAAATCATCCTGCCTCAGCCTCCTGAGCCACAGGTATTATAGGTGTGTTCACCACCATACCCTGCATATTTAGTCAACTTTAATTTCAACCTGAAAGTCTATCTTTCTTTCTTTCTTTTTCTTTTTTCTTTCTTTCTTTCTTTTTCTTTTTCTTTTTCTTTTTTTTTTTTTTTTGTACCAGGGAATGAACCCAGGGACGCTTTACCACTGAGCCACATCCCCATCCATTTTTTTGTATTTTATTTAGAGACAAGGTCTCCCTGAATTGCTGAGGCTGGCTTTGAACTTGGGATCATCCTGCTTCAGCCTCCCAAGCCTCTGGGATTACAGCTGTGTGTCACCATGCCCAGTTCTGACAGTGTTTCTTGTAGAATAAGTTTGCTAGGAACAAATTCTCTCACTTTTTCTTTATCCTAACTTCTCTTTCTTTTTCAAAGGACAGCAATGCTGGATAGAGAATTAATAGTTGACAGTCTTTTTGTTACATCATTTTGAAGATGTCATCACACCATCTTCTGACCTCCATGGTATCTGATGAGGAAACAAACTTATTGAAAGTCCCTTGTATGTGTAAGTCATTTTCTCTTACTTCTTTCAAGATTTTCTTTTATCTCTGACTTTCATCAGTCTCACCATGATATTTCTAGATATAAATCTCTTTGAGTTTTTTCTCTTTGAACTCCTTAAATGTGTAGATTAATATTTTTCATTAAATTTGGTAACTTTTACCCCTTTCTCTTCCTCTTCCTTTGGGACCCCATTATGTATGTGTTATATTTGATGGTGCCCCACAGGTTTGTGATGATCCATTTCTCTTTCCTTTTATCTTTCAGATTCTTAGAGTGGATAATTTCTATTAACCTATTATTAGGTTTACCCTTTCTCCTCCCATCTCAAATCTCTCACTGAGTCCCTCTAGTGAAGTATTCATTTTGGATATTGTACTTTTCAATTTTAATTATATTTTAAATTGTCACTTTATTGGTATTCCTCATTTGCTGAGATATTGTTCTAATACTTTAATTCTTTAGATATAGTTTTTATTTCATTGAAAATATTTATAATAGCTAAAGTCTTTGTCTTTTAAGTCCTAAACATGGGCCCTCTCAGGATCATATTTCATTGGCTGCCTTTTGTCCTGTGTGTCATACTTTCCTTTTTCTTTGTGTGTCTCGTAATTTCTTTTTTGTCAAAAATTGGACATTGTATATGGGCTTGGGTTGTGGCTCAGTGGCGGAGTGCTGGTCTAGCATGTGTGAGGCACTGGGTTCAATCCTTAGCATCACCTAAAAACAAATAAAATAGGGGCTGGGGCTCAGTGATAGAGCGCTCGCCTGGCACACGTAAGGCACTGGGTTTGATCCTCAGCACCACATAAAAATAAAATAATTTTGTCTGTATACAACTAAAAAAAATATATGTATTAAAAAAGCAAATTAAATAAAGGCATTCTGTTCATCTATAACTACAATTTTTTTTAAAAATTGGACATTGTAGATACTCTGCTTTAACACTTTAGTATCACTCTTTCACTCTCAAGTTTGTGGGGTTTTTTTTCTTTTTCAATATTGGAGATTGAACCATGCAGGCACTTTCTATCACTGAGCATTTTGCTAACTTGCTAACAACATCCTGCTAACTTGCCCAGGCCTCTAACTTGTGATCTTCTTCCTCAGACTCCTGAGTATATGAGATTACTGGTATACCACTATGCCCAGCTATTGTTCTTTTTTATTATTAAATTTATTTATATTTAGTTGACCAATAAAAATTATATATTTTGATCATTTGTTTCAAAATATACATGTACCGTGGAATAGCTAAATCAATTTAATTAATATATGCATTGCTTCACATACTTTTTTGTTGTTGAAAACCCTTACAATCTATTATTCTCTTAGCAATTTTCAAACCTACAATACATTATTATTAACTAAAGTTGATGCATTTCCTGCATCTATGGAGATGATCTTATGGTTTTTGTCCTTCTCTTTGTTAATATGGTGTGTCATCTTTGTAGATATGCATGTGTTGAGAATATCCTTGCATCCCTGGGATAAGTCCTACTTGATCATGGTTAGTGATCCATTTAATGTACTATTAAATTTGGTTTGATAATATTTTGAGTAGTATTTTTTCATCTATTTTCTTCAAGATATCAGCCTATAATTGTCATTTCTTGTAATGTCCTTATCTGATTTTGGTATCAAGACAATGCTGGCCTCAAAATGAGTTTGGATATACTCCTTCTTCAGTGTTTTGGAAGAGCCTGAAAAGGATTGGTATTAGTTCTTTAAGTATTTGGTAGTATTCAGTAGTGAAGCCATTGGGTCCTGAGCTTTTCTTTGATGAGAGACTTTTTAAAAATTTTCTTTTTGGTACCGGAAATTGAACTCAGGGGTACTCGACCACTGAGGCACATCCCTGGCCCTATTTTGTATTTTATTTAGAGACAGGGTCTCATTGAGTTGCTTAGTGCCTCACAGTTGCTGAGGCTGCCTTTGAACTAGCAATTCTCCTGTCTCGGCCTCCCAAGCTGCTGGAATTACAGGAGTGCCACTGTGCCCCATGACAGACTATTTTTTAATGGATTCAATCTCTTTACTCACTGTTGGTTGGTTTAGAATTTCTATTTATTTATAATTCTTCCTTAACAGTTTGTATATGTCTAAGAATTTCTATGTTTCTTCTAGGTTATGTAATTTGTTGATGTACAGGTGTTCATATTAGTCTTCTATATCTGTTGTGATTCTATGGCATCAGTTGTAATGTCTCATCTTTCATTTATGATTTTGTTTGGGATCTCTCTTTTTTCCTTAATCTAGCTAACGATTTGTTGATTTTGTTTATTTTTTTTAAAGTACAACTCTTAATTTTGTTGATTTTTTTCTATTTTTTGTAGCTCTTTTTCATTTATTTATGCACAGATATTTAATATTGCCTTCCTTCTATTAACTTTGGATTTAGTTTGCTCTTCTTTTCCTAGTTACTTGAGGTATAATGTTAGGCTGTTGGATATCTTTCTTCTTTTATCATGTAGATATTTATTGCAATTCACTTCCATCTTAGAAGTGCTTTTGCTGCACATCGTAAGTTTTGGTATGTTGTATGTCCATGTTCATTTTCCTCAAGATATTTTACATTTTCTCTTTTAATTTCTTCTTTGGCCCATTGGTTATTCAGGTGTATATTGTTTCATTTCCACATATTTGTGAATTTTCTGAAATTCTTTCTGTTATTGATTTCTGTTTCATACCATTGTGGTTGGAAAAGGCATTTGATGATTTCAGTTTTTTAAAATTTATTAAGACTTGTTTTGTGGCCTAGCATATGATCTGTCTTGGAGAATGTTCCATGTGTGTTTGAAAAGAATGTGTATTATGCTGCTGTTGGATAGAATATCCTGCATAAATCTGTTGGGTTCATTTGGTCTTATGTGTAGTTTAAGGCCAGTGTATCCTTATTGGTTTTCTGTCTGGATGATCTGTTCAGATAGAAAGTGGCTTATCAGAGTCCCCTCTTATTACTGCATTACAGTTTGTCTCACTCTTCAGATCTGTTGATAGATTTGCTTTGTATATTTAAGTGCTCCATTGTTGGGTACACATAATGTTTACCATGGTTATGTCCTCCGGAGGAATTGGCCCTTTTATCATTATGTATTGACCTTCTTACCTCTTTTTATAGTTTTAAAGTCTATTTTATCAGACGAAGTGTAGCTACCCCTACTCTATTTTGGTTTCCATTCACATGTAATATCTTTTCATATATTTTCTCTTTCAGTCTATATGTGTCATTAAAGGTAAACTGAGTCTCTTGTAGGCAGCACATAGTTGAGTCTTGTTTTATGGTCCATGCAGCCACTCTATGCCTTTGGATTGCAGAATTTAATCCATTTAAATCCGGGTAATTATTGGTAGGAAAGGACTTATTACTGTCATTTTGTTAATTGTTTTCTGGTTGTTTTGTAGATCTTTTGATCCTCTCTTCCTCACTTGCTGTCTTCCTGTGTGATTAGGTGATTTCTTCTAGTGGTATCCTTTGATGCTTTATTTTTTGTAGTATCTCCTATAGGTTTTTGCTTTCTGGTTACCATGAGGCTTACATAAAATATATTTATAAGAGGCTATTTTAGACTGATAACAACTTCGATTGCATTAAGAAACTTCACAGGGCTGGGGTTGTGGCTCAGTGGTAGAACACTTACTAGCATACATGAGGCACTGGATTCAATCCCCAGTACCATATAAAAATAAAATAAAATAAAATAAAGGTATCATGTCCATCTACAACTAAAAATATATTTTAAAAACTGAAACTCCACACTTCTCGGTGAACACCTGTAATCCCAGTAACTCTGAGGCGGAGACAGGAGGATCACAGTTCAAGGCCAACCTTATCAACTTAGCAACTGAGCAACTTAATGAGACCCTGTGTCAAAACAAAAAATAAAAAATAAAAAAGGGTTGAGGATGTAGCTCAGTGGTAAAGACCCCAGAGCCAAAAGAAAAAGAAGAAAGAAAAAGAAACTTCACATTTATCTGATAGTTCAAACCTGTAATCCCAACTACATGGGAGGCTGAGGCAGGAGGATCACAAATTCAAGGCCAGCCTCAGCAATTTAGTGAAACCCTACCTCAAAATAAGAATAAAAATTTCTAAAATAAAAAAAAAAAACTTTAAAAGGTGGTGATGTGGCTCAGTGGAGGAGTGCCTTGGGTTTCAGTACTACAAAATAAGAAGAGGGAAAAGGAGAAAAAAAGAAGCTCCACACTTTCACTTCACCCCATCACACACGACATTTTATGTCTTTTGATCTCATGATTTACATCATTTTATATTGTGTTTCCATTAACAAATTATGGTAGCTATCATTATTTTTAATAGTTTCCTCTCATTCTAAAGATGTCATGTACACACTTCCATTGTAGTATTAGAGTGTTCTGAATTTGACTGTGTACTTACTGTTACTGGTGAGTTTTATGATTTCTTTATGTTTTCATGTTACTAATCAGCATCCTTTTCTTTCAACTTGAGGAATTTCCTTTTGCATTTCCTGTAAGACAAGTCTGGGTTATGAAATACCTCAACTTTTGTTCGTCTGGGAAAGTCTCACATTTCTTCTTCATTTTCAAAGGATAGCTTTGCCAGGTACAATATTCTTTGTTGACAGTTTTCTTTCTTCAGCACATTAAAATATCATTCCACTCTTTACTGGCCTATAAGAATTCTGCTGAGGAATTTGATGCTAGCCTTATAATTCTCTTACATGTTATTTGCTTCTTTCTTTTCTGCTTTCAGGATCTTCTCTTTCTTCTTGACATCTGACAGTCCAATTATAATATGTCCTTTTGTAGCTATGTTTTTATTGAATCTGATTGGAGACCTTTGACCTTCCTATACAGAGATAGTTATATCTTTTTTAAAATTTAGAAAGTTTTCAGCTATTATTTCTTCTGATAAACTTTCTTTTCCTTTGTCTATCTCTTCTCTTTCATGAATTTCTATTCAAATATTTATTTGCTCCTTTGATGCTTCTCCATATACCCCATAAGCTTCTTCATTCTTTT